CGGCCTGACCAGCCACACACACAACGCGGGCAGCGCACATCACGGCATTGTCGAGGGACACCTCGGCAACGTCGACCGTCTCGACGACGGTTACCGACTTAGTTTCTTTCCAGATGGAACGGGCACGTTCCATCAGGAGCTTGGCTTCGCCGTCTGCGACCTTAGGGCACTTGAACACATTGTGCTCGGTGCTCAGGCACTTGAAACACGCACGCTTGTCTTAGGTGAATTTCGACTTCGGGATCTTGTCGACGTTCACGACGGCCACGACCTTGGGGGCCTTCCCAACCTTGGGATTCTTGGTCGCCGCGCGTCGGGCTTGGCGGTGGTGGGCACCGCCGCGGCCATCAGCGGCTTGAACTCGCCGTAGCGACGCATGTAGTCCGCCAGCCAGCGCTTGAAATCGCGCGCGTCCTTCTTGAGGCTGCGGTTCTCGTTCAACTTCATGAGTTCCTTGACACATGCGCGCACGGCCGGTGGCTGGACGGCCGCGACGAGATAGTCGACAGTTAGTTTTGGCTCGGCCTCCGCAAACCCCTCCATTGAGAGGCGCACGAGTACCGCCTCGAAATCCGAGACAAATTTTGACTCCCGGGACTCGGCCGACTGCACGGCCGTGTCAATCTTGAGCTTGGCCATCGCGGCGTCCAACTTGGACATGTCCACAGGATCGCAGTCCTTGGCCCCAAGGAAGAAAACCTTCCAGTCCTCCTCCGTCAGCTCGTGGCTGGCCTTCCCAATCTCCCAGTAAGCGATGCGCTCGACCGATAACGGGTCGATGCATGCGCTCAGCGGCGCGGGCTGGATCTAGGCACCACCGGGGCGCTGGGCGTTCGCGATGTTGACTTCACGGGCGTACGCCTCGTACTGGTCCATAAACTTGCGCATCTGCACCTTGGTGCTGCCGTTGAACGACGGGGCCTTGGGTACCTCTTGGAACCCATAGACGACTTGGACGCCCGTGACCGCGGGGGCGGCTGTGGGCGCTGTAACAGCCGGTACTGGGGTCGCCGAGAAGGCATGCCAACGGGCGCTAGTCCGACGTCGCATCTCCTCCAGCTACTAGCCGTGCTTGACAGACGCGGCAGCAGCTTGCTGCAAACCTTGCTCGTGGGCCTCAGTCTGCTTCTTCTGTACGTGCAGCTACTCGACGAGGACTTCTTGTCGGCAACGCTGCTCCTCTAGCTCAGCCATCAGCCGATTGTCCAAGAAAATGCAAAAGAAGTATCAACTCCTCAGTTAGTCGGAGTCGTGTTAGAACATGAAACAAAGTTGTCGAAAGAGCAAATTGACAAGCAGCCATTTGACTATAGAGGCATAGTCGGATCACTGCAGTACCTGGTTCGAGGTACTCGTCCAGATATCGGTAACGCCGTTCGAGAACTAAGTAAGTTTCTTTCGTGTTACAATGAGACTCATTATTATGCTGCACTGAGGTGCTGAAATACTTGAAGGGAACATCTAAACATGGCTTGAGGGGAAGTGCAAAGATGTATTTTATGACGTGTACACTGATGCATCCTTTGAGAGCCAAGTAAAGGATCGGAAAAGTACTGGATATTTGATCCGAATGGCTGGAATATGCATATCATGGGCAAGCTGCAAACAAGTGTGTGTGTCGTTATCAACTGTTCAAGCAGAGTTGATAGCCTTAGGTGAAGGAGTGAAAGAGTGTGAATGGATCTTCATGCTGCTAAAAGAAATGGGATTTCACGTGAAAAGACCGATCACTATCTGGACAGATAGCCAGGCAGCTATTGATAT